GTGTCTTCTGGCAGGTTGAACACGGACATCAGGGAGCTCCTCTTTCTCCCGCGTCTCCGTCAACCGCCTGTTCTGTAGATATAGCCATGGCTTCCTAAATGGAAACCATGACAATGACACAAATGCAATTCCCCTTTTTCATACAATTCAACATTCAACTTGAAAGAGAAATGGGTCCAGCAACTAGCATCCTGTAACGGTGTAGAATTTATTATACCGTAAAATAGCAACTTACAGTTTCCCAGGAACGTTGCTACGCCTGCCATGAACACAGGGATACAGCACGAACTGGTACGGGTACTTATTTGGCAACCCCTTCCACGTTCGCCGTCAATAATGCTGCGGAGTCACAGCCGTATGCTTGCAAAAAGCTGTGGCAGTTGCAAATCTCTTTACATCGGACTCAACCTCATCAAGTTTCCGATAATAGTAGGCACCAAAAGACAGAATCTCTTAGATTCATCCACCATGATGACAGTTACAAATGTGGCGCCAAGTGATTTCCAATACTCATGTAGTCTATCACAACAACTAACTATGAGAACCACATTAACCTTCTTCAATACAAAACATACACCAGGTGTACCTGTGTATACTATTTATATATACAAACCGCCATCTAATAGCAACCTCTCTAGTTGGCCTAGCATGCCCATCGATCCAAATCCGCCGCTAAGCAAATCTCCGTGCCACGTAGTGGCAACCATAGAACTGCAAGAAATGTGGGCAATAAAAAATAAGTGGCATCAATTTTACGGCATAAAATACGACTATGTCTGGTATTTTCCAAAAAACGGCTAATATCTCTGCACATGATGTTAGTTGCTACTTTAAGTGAGGTCTAATGAAAAAGGTCGTATTTAGCTGTTATTTCGGATTGCAACCATGGAGGCTGACTTCAGGGGCACCTTTGTTGGGCATTCGTTTCATAGCTTTGATGAATTCTATTCGCTTTTTACCTCATTTATGCATCGGAACAACGTCAATTTTGTTTGCTGTAGCAGCAAAAGAAGCAAGTATCATAGCGTGAGGTATGATCGCATCGTTTATAAACGCGTGCGCTGTAAGCGCCGGAAAACAAGGAGCAAAGGAATACGGCGAGTCTAGTATGTGGTGTATAATGTTGTTAACCGTCCAATTTAGTTCCGGAGACACCGATTGCAGTGCTCGTGTCAATGTTGCTCGGGATGGCCGTAGGCCAAAGGTGCTAACGTTCCAGCTCTCCCACAACCATAGATATGACATCGACTGCACAAATGGCACATGCACTTGCGCATTTTACGGGCACATGTGGCTACCGTGCGTCCATTTAATGATGTTATATAAGGAGAATCAACATCCGGCGGGTAACAACGATTATGTTTCATTCCCTTTTTAGAAAGCATACCTATCCGTAGTCGATGGTTAGCGAATTACAACATGCCGGAGGATTCCATGTTGCTTCGGACTTTGAAGGTAGTCACCTCAAGGCAGCCGAATTCCAACGTAGCAAAACTGCTTGCTCGGCTTAAGTGCCTGGAAGACGTGAACCCCAGTGCAGTATCCGGGTTTATCGATAGCCTCATTCAACAAACTGTTGAGCTCATAGACGTAGCACCAGGTGCGCCCGTCGTAAGTGATAAGCCACACTGCCAACCGCGGTGACACAAAGCCGGTAAGTTGACTACATTTTGCTTCGCTTGTGGTGAACCGGTTGCAGGTACGGGCGTTCATTGCGTGCACAACGGGCTACTGTACCACCGTAAATGCTTGGTGGAGAACAAAACCGACGGTTGCAAAGTTTGCTCCAGTGACATAGCAGCAGTTCCATTTCCCAAAAAGCCGTCACATACGTGAGTTGGAATCAAGTAATTTAGTTTCCGCTATGCGCCGTACACCATCTCCGAATATAACGATATCATCTACCCCATCTACTTCTCCGGCGTACGAAGGCAAGCGCTTTGATATAGCTTTTCACCTCCGCTCAGATACTTCGGATGGTTGTGACGCGGTACCCTGTTGCAGCTATGTATATGTGTCACATAGTACGGACAACGCACCCGCTATGCCTATACGCTTACCAAATGAGACGAACACCTCGGCGGAGCTGCAGCCTATCTGCAAACCTGCGTTTGAGTAAGTCATAATATTTTGTTACCTGCATCCTCCTCAGTGTAGATCTGGATTCCACTGCAAATGAACCCTTTGCTGGAAAGACAACCGTTTTAAGAAGCACTTTCATGATCTGCTTGCCAGACAGTAAGTTCTGTGCCATTGTCATTAAACCACTGCAGCCGATGATTACGACTTTGCCTAACTGCGTGAAGGCCAGCCTGTGAGAACGCAAACTTGGCCCTTTTTAGGGCCACCTCCTGTTTCGTTGCCGTGTGTTTCCCTCTTGCCAACCCGACGCAACTGCTCGGTTGACGGCATTGATTGGAACATTCGGTAAATGAATCGGACGGTGGCTCTATAATCCTCGCAGGAATGGCCTAATTGCTGTTTAACTGGGACTCCAAGCCCATGCATTCCGTGTTCACTATGCTTTCCTTTAGGTACATTACTTTTACCCCACTCCTTAGTGATCCGCTGTGTTGACGTGACGCATATGACGTGTCCGGCACATTTGCGTGAGCACTTTGAATGGGTCTGAACGACAACGTTCCCGGAAATGTTATCTGTGACCATACCTTTCTTGACAATTCGGTTATCATTTGCATTTAACCATATCCGCATCGTCCCAGTACTGTTAGAGAGCTAGCTATGGATGCCTCCTGATGGTGCTCTTGCAATGAGCTTTTGGCCCCCTGTCTGGACAGGTAAACGAAGGCATATGTAGGCTACTGTATCACCAGTGCATCAGGTCTGTGATTATATGTATAGAGGCTCCGAGACCTACCTTCTTGGTGATAGTGCTACGAGACCTATGTAGGCTACTGTTGCACTAGTGCATCAGGTCTGTGATTATATGTATAGAGCCTCCGAGACCTACGCCATTGATGCTAGTGCTAAGAGATCTATGTAGGCTAGTATATCACCAGTGCATCAGGTCTGTGCTGATATGTATAGAGGCTCCGAGACCTCCGCCATTGATGCTAGTGCTAAGAGACCTATCTAGGCTAGTGTTTCGCCAGTGCAACAGGTCTGTGCTGATATTTATAGAGTCGCCGAGACCTACGCCATTGCTGCTAGTGCTAAGATACCTATCTAGGCTAGTGTATCGCCAGTGCAACAGGTCTGTGCTGATATGTATAGAGGCCCCGAGAATTACATTCTTGGTTATAGTGCTAAGAAACCTATTTACCTTGTGAAGCCCTAGTGCTAACAAGCTTCCGAATTTCCGTTTACATCCTGACAACTGGCTCATCGCCTCATCCCACATGCCCTCCACTAGGCTTGTGATGCCCCGTGACCCATAAACATCTCACATGCCAACATGTTCATTCCTTCATCACATGCTTGAAGTGACTGTGGACTTGCATTGTTATCATTACACTGAACATGTGGGCATAGGTCTGCTTTGCAAAACTAGTGGGGCCCTGTGGACTGCGGTGTGCACTTCCTCTACTCAGTTTAGTTGTTTTGGCATAATGAGTATATTCTTACTGAGGCTGGCAATAGGTGTCCATTTAATACCCCGTGACGTTACTCTACATGAAGTCAGCTACGCTGCTCACAATAATATAAGGAGCACACGGACGCATCCTCCTTGGATAGATCGTACCGGTAAATACCTGCTCACGAAGCGCTCTAAGTGCTGCCGAATTTACCAGACGGCTTCATCAAACAAAACCTACGGAACCTACCAGGCGGTTAGCAATAAATGTAAGCTAAATATCAGCATGGCTCGTCTTTAATTACGGTTGAAATCGTAAGGGATATCTGTATCCTAGCAATTCATTCGATACCAGTGCTTAGTATTGTGTTGCATAGATTAGCATCATTTAATGAAAGTTGTTTACCAAACCTACTTCTCTCACATTGTATATCTATTTCATTAGCAACCACCTCAAGTTCAATGGGACGGGAACGATAGGATGAATCCCGTAAGTGTTCCTTCATGAGCGGGTCGTCGATCCATTTACTTACCTCCCGTACAGCCTCAATTACATTTACATTTACAGATAGCTCGATGAATTCTGCTCACGGCAACGGTTAATTTTCTAGCTAAATGTGCCATTAATCCTTGAGTTCACTGAGTAGTAGAGAGCAGAAGACAGGCCGGTGAAAGCTTCTTCACTTCGTCGTGAACCGATATCTCTACCCTGGTAGCACATGTCCAGGTCCTGTCCAGTTCAGCATGCTAAACGTTCCTATGAGAGCATTAGGCTAAACTGGACAGGAAGTATTACCTTGAGACGGCTAAAAACGGTTCCCGTCCAGTTTACGTTGGACCAATGAAGATGATGCTAGCGTTGACCAATAGAAATTCACCACTATGCGTGACGATCCGGCTGGTCCAGATCCCGTCATTGCCTCCCATGGGTATCCGAATACTGACAACACACTTGAACGCACTATGCGCCTAAACAATATATGGACGACTCGGACCTAGTGTTCACCCGGTACCAGTTGCGGTAGTTTCTGGACTTGGGAACCCACCTAGGCGGCGACTCAAAGCTGTTGGTCAGAAAAGGAAACCGCTCTTGCCGCGCACCTGACATCACAAGGCGAAAGAAAATTAAAACGGAGGGATAGGAATGCTATATATACATGAAAGGGTGCAGTACAAAGAACGTTAGTAGCAGCAAGTCGCATAGTCAATATTCCTAATCTGCTTCCGCGAGTGTCAACGTAGGAGGCTAAAGATGTGCCTAAGGAAGCAGGGGACTCACCTCATTGGCACTGCATACTTTAGTTTGCTCAACCGGCGGTCTTTTGTGCCGTGCAGAATGCAACCACGTTTTGATGTGCCGTGTAATGTCAGCATCCGAGGCTGCATCACCCATGCGTTGCCGAATGAGGCCTTGGTAGTTTTTATGGATTACTGCATTTCAACCTACATTGTACAAGGCCGTTCATATTTGTTCGCCTGAATGCAAAGGAACCTCTAGCACCGGAGTAATTTATCTCCGCGGCAACTGATCTTGTCATTAGCCGCTCCATGGTACCCCGGACAATGAGTTGTATGTTATCACCGTGCACAGCACCTAAATGGTTGACCTAAAGTATTTGAATAATAAGACGAACTTACGACTCTGATTTTGAAATCCGGGTCCTTCAGCCGTTCATCATATCTCTTTAGCTCACTGAGAGAGATGAATGGCAGAGATAGTCCCGGCGCAACACTTTGGGATTGTCGTTGTAGCATTTGCAACATCGCTTCGGACATGCGACGATGGCCGACCAATTCTGATCGGATGAGACACAACTCATCTAAAAATAAGGCTGAGTGCAATGCAATGCATCTGTGGCGTCTTACATTTTATGGCCTGCAGTTCGTGCAGCACATCCAGATTGCTTGGTGGGACGTCTGCAATAACCGGTATCGGGATTGCTGTTTAATAGGGGCAGTATGAAATCGATACTTACGGTTGCTTGTTGATGGTCCTGGACGTGACGGACTAAATAAATAGTATATTCTCTGTAAATCGAGACACACCTCTAAAAGGCATGATCAAATATGCATACAAGCACAGCATCTTTGGAATATTAAAACATTTCGTTACAGTGAAAGGAATAAACGAAAAGATGTAGTCCATAAGAGCGAGCATATTGTCAGGTGATAGTCAGACCAAGGATCATAATGGCGCCGTGGCGCGCAAAAACTATTGCGTCAAGATACAAGTGGGGGGTAAATTTGACATGTTGTGATCCATGAGCACAGAAGCCCGAACAAGGTTAAGTGCAATCAATGACCATTACGAAGCCGGGATGATCGGTACTCCACTAAAGCATTCTTCATAGTAAAATCAGTTGCACAGGTTCGAGGTTGGAGGCTGAGGACTGCGTCAGTGTGAAATGTATAGCAGTGACTTTATTTTGTGGCGAGTCACATCCGCCACGTTGCAGTGTTGTTAAGCGGACATTTGTGGCTTTTTATAGGGAGAACGCTTGCCAGGCGAAAACCCACCACGTCCTAGAACACTGTCGTTGCTTCCGTTGAACTGTAGTGCTAGTCGGCTATACATCGTATAGACCGATTTTGCACTCTATTATTCGCAGTCAGTTGACAGCCAAAATTTTTCGTTGGTTGGCCGAATGGCTTAGCACTGAACCGGCAATAGTCGTTGAAGCCAGTCAGTGATGTAAAAGAGTCGCAGAGTCGAATGATAATGATGCGCGTGAGTAAACATATTGTTAATAGAGGCCGGCTTTTTCTATTATATTGTCCGGCTCGCAACCCGTGTCCAGCTATCCATGCTGGACTTGTCATAGGGACGGTGAGTGCAGTTGTTTCTTGTGTCTGAATATGTCCAAAACAGGAATAAATGCTATTCTCCGCGAAGTGGACAAGTATTTCCTTCAAATGTAAGTGTAATTGTCTCCATAACCAAGTGAGAGCTCCAGGAAAAATCATCAGAAAAGCCGCTTATGCGCGCGCAGTGCTGTCCGTGAAATGACATCAGAAAAGCTCCAGGTGACTGGAGAATCGGAATGTTTGAGGCAGTGAATGTAATCACGCCAGAATTGTCAGTCTCCGGTTCTGGAACAGTGGATCCATGTAAATACATTATTCCAGGTGAGTAAATTGTTCTACTGTGAGTACGAGGCGAGCTAAACCCATTTGTTTAGACCCCGTGGTGGTAGCTTCTCCAGAATGGCGGAAAGAGCTCCATTTGGAACGATGTGTGGGTTCTTCATCACCCGGAGAAAAGAACAAGCATGTAAACCAGCTGGCTATTGAAAGTGGGTCGACTATTCCCAGTGGATAAACCTTCTTGTTTTGGCGGATGTATCTGTGGAAAACTCGAGAGAAAACGGGCAACGGACAAGAGGCAGCCAAACAGAAAGACAGCAACGAAGCAGGAAGCACAAACACAGACTGGTGGCGCGCAACGGTGCCTATGATACATTAAAATTTATGTAATTTTGTTTAGTATACATGATTTGCAAGCGCGTTCTTTACATCACGTCGCTGGTGTGCCTCAGACTACAACTACTAGGTAGAAAGAAGGGTATAACATAGCGTGTAGACAACGTTAAGCGATTAATATGATTATTGGAGAGTAACAGGTAAACCGATGATGATGACAGCAGACCGAATGCGAGCGGCATCTTAGGTGAAACTAAGGACAACAAGGTTGAGACCGAATGCGGGAGCAACATAGGTAAAGCAACGTTCCAAGAAGAAAAGGAAATTTAAGGAATCAGCTATGAGCGGAAGAATGCGGACGGCAGTGCGAAGAGTAACTCATGAGAGCAATTAAGAGACGATAGTCAGGATGAAAAAGGTTTACTACTAAAGTGTGGTGAGCCAAGGACGCTCTCCTGCGAAGTATGAAACGTTCAGTGCTGAAATAGCACCGGTAATATCCCGGTAATCTGAGAGAACTCTAAAAGCCGGAGACCAAACAGACGAGACTCGAGAAGTCGACACATCCGGAGGCCTCGTAGTAGTCCCAGAGAATTACACTGATCAGATGATGACAAAGAAGGGCATGGCACTAAGCGTCGGTCATCCGATTGAAGATGTGAGAGTACAGGTTACTGATGGAAGTGCCTATATTAATAAAGGGTAAACAAGTCTAGCGGGCTGTCAATGTAAGCAAGACATAGTTGTGAGTCTAAAGAGATTAGATCGGTTTATCTTCCTAGTCTGGAAAAGGTCTAAGGAGCATTCCGGTCAGATGAGACTAGGTTATTACAAGGCACTAAGAGTTAGCAGTCCGATTAGAGAAGAGATGATAGTAGAGGGGCCATTAGGAGAGGAGACGGTCCGGATAGAGAGAGGTTTACTTATTTGGTGTGGAAAAGTCCACGGGGCTCGAAAGGTAATGGGCACGGAGCGTTCAGTCTTCCGAACATAGCAGGCAGCGTCACAGAAGTAGGAGAGAAGAAGACCGAGCTGCCGAGGTTGGACTTGGTCGGCGCATTGTGATTGAGTCCTATGGTTCATTTGGGAAGGTAAGTGGAGTCAGTAGGATTGGACTGGTCAGAGATAGAAGTGGTTATATCAACGTAGGGCGAACAAGTTCAGCAGGATATCAAGGTGAGGGAGGAAGTGCTTTGGATCGACGGAGCCTAGACCGCTAACATCCCGGTAGCCTGGTAGCAGTCCCATAGAATTTGGCTGATCAGCTGAGGCTGAGTTACGGATGACAGAGACTCAATCGTCCGATTGAAGAATGATTGGATACGAACGGCGCTGTCATCTGAACGATGGCTAGTAATGTCACAGGAGTCTGAGAGAAGTTGCAAAGCAGGAGACCAAACAGACGAGACAGGATTAGTCGGCGAAACGACATTGAGTCCAACAGCTAATTTTAGGAGGGCAAATGGAGTGGGTCGAGAGGTGGAGGTGACTATATAAATAGAGGGTGAATAAGTCTAGCAGGCTGTCAACGTAAGTGCGATATAGCTTGAGTCTACAGAGTCTAGACCGTTTAAATGTTGCTGGTCTGGAAAGGGTCAAAGAAGCAGACCGGTCAGATGAGACTAGGTTATTACAGGGCACAGAGTTGGCAGTCCGATTAGAGAAGGTTTGAAGGTAGAGAACGTCATAAGAAGACGGTCCGGATAGGGAGAGGTTTACTTATTTGGTGTGGAAAAGTCCATGGGGCTCGAGAGGTAATGGGGACAGAGCGTTCGCACTTCTCATTCAATGCCGGTAACGTCACAGCAGTCTGAATGAATTCGGAGAGCAGGGGACCGATCAGACGAGACTGGATTAGTCGGCACACTTAGAGTAAGTAGTACAGTTGAGGTGGGAAGGTAAATAAAGAGTCAGCGGAGACGGATGGGTTGGGATGCAAGAGGCTACATGAATATAAGGTATGCAAGTCAGGCAGGCTCGCAAAGGGAGAGAAGTTGTGTGATGGTGATACAGAGCCTAAAACTACATTTCGCTAGTTAGGAAGCAGTCAAAGAGGATAATAGGGCGGGGCTCTGAGAGCTCGCTATGCGGATGAAGAAGAAATAAAGACAGGCCGCGATAAGGAGAGGACAGAGTTGAGAGTTTACGTTTAGGGCTAAGAAATGCGACAGTTAACGTGGCTCTCGAGGTAATGGTGACAGAGCGTTCAGTCTTCCGAGCAATAGCCGGCAGGGTCACAAAAGTCGGAGAGATGAAGACCGATCAGCCGAGATTGGATTTGGTCGGCGCATTGCGATTGAGTCCTATGGTTCATTTGGAAAGATAAGTGGAGTCAAAGGATTGGACTGGTCAGAGATAGAAGTGGTTATATTAACATAGGGCGAACAGGTCCAGCAAGCTATCAAAGTGAGGGAGACACTGCTTTGGATTGACGGAGCCTAGACCGCTAACATCCCGGTAGCCTGGTAGGATTTCCAGAGAGTTTGACTGATCAGATGAGGCTCAATTAGGGTAGGCACAAAGAGGTGGCCGTCCGATTGTAGAAGGATTGAATACAGACGGCGCTCAGTCATCTTAACGATGGCAAGTAACGTCACAGCAGTCGGAGAGCAGGATACCGATCAGTTGAGACGGGATTAGTCGGCGAGATGCGATTGATTTTGGTGGGCAAATGGATTGGGTCGAGAGATGGACAGGTTAGAGGTGGAGGTGCTTATATAAACAGAGAGTGAACAAGTCTAGCAGGCTGTCAAAGTAAGTGCGACATAGTTTTGAGTCTACAGGGATTAGATCGGTATATCTTGCTAGTCTGGAAAAGGTCAAAGAAGCAGACCGGTCAGATGAGACTAGGTTATTGCAGGGCACTGAGAGATGGTCGTCCGATTGGAGAAAGATGGAGTGTACAGGATACTGATGGAAGTGTCTATATTAATAAAGGGTAAACAAGTCTACCCGGCTGTCAATGTAAGCAAGACATAGTTTTGAGTCTACAGGGATTAGATCGGTATATCTTGCTAGTCTGGAAAAGGTTAAAGGAGCAGACCGGTCAGATGAGACTAGGTTAGTACAGGGCACTGAGAGTTGGCAGTCCGATTAGAGAAGAAATGATAGGAGAGGAGACGGTCCGGATAGAGAGAGGTTTACTTATAAGGTGTGGAAACGTCCATGGGGCTCGAGAGGTAATGGGGACAGAGCGTTCGGTGTTCTCACCAAATGCCGGTAACGTCACAGCAGTCTGAATGAATTCGGAGAGCAGGGGACCGATCAGACGAGACTGGATTAGTCGGCACACTTAGAGTAAGTAGTACAGTTGAGGTAGGAAGGTAAATAAAGAGTCAGCGGAGACGGATGGGTTGGGATGCAAGAGGCTACATGAATATAAGGTATGCAAGTCAGGCAGGCTCGCAAAGGGAGAGAAGTTGTGTGATGGTGATACAGAGCCTAAAACTACATTTCGCTAGTTAGGAAGCAGTCAAAGAGGATAATAGGGCGGGGCT